GGACTCATAACAGTTCTTCTTTTTGTTATTCTTTTTTTGGTTGTTATTCGAGCTGTGGATGCGCTTGTACTTTCTTTTACTTCTCCTATATTTGGTATCCTCCTTGACGCAGCCCTTTTTCTCTTCTTTCGCTGCCATAGCTTTTTCCATCTTTTTCTCAAGACCCCGGTCAGCCTATTCCCCTTGATTTGTTTGCTTCTATCGGGAACACCTCCAAAGCGCTCAGCGCCTACATCTGTATTCGAGACCGCCGGTTGGCTCTTACTGGTTACAAAAGTTTTGTTCTAAAAGGGCGTGATGAAGATGTGGATTTACGAATGTTGTTCATTTTCCACTCACGTTCAGAGTAAAGCCCAGTGTTTTATTGTTAGACTGCGGTAAAGTTAAGTTCTCAAATAGACTTTGTCCTAAAATGCCATTTTTAGGATCAACGTTCTTGCATCCACAAAAATTTTAAATTGATAATAGTGGTTAGTTCATTTGCCTTCAAAAAGTTTGGTCAATGCATTAAAAAAGTCGAAGAATCGCGTTCAAAAGGTAATCAGAACTCAAGAAAATACCTGAATGGTTGCCCTGTGCGCTCAGCATGTTGCAGCATATTATTTCCAAGATAATCTAAAAGTCAAAACATTTGTCGTAAGTTTAATTTCAATGCTTTCTTATACTCTATATTCTCACAAATTGCTCAAATAAACATATGTCTTATGAAAAAATGTGTGCATTTATATGAGGATGTGATTTATTTGCAACGACCTTTACTTGTGGTGGCATGAGAGTTTCGGGTTGTTATCTGTCAATTCCCGGCGAAACGTAAAATGCCAATTATTCTAGCACCTAGATTTTTCGATGGTTACGATGCAGAAAATCATATCAAGCGCTTTCACAATAGTTGGAGTTACTTGGTAAATGGACGTCTTCAACTCACTACATCCTTGAGGCGTAATATAGCCATTCACGGAATAACGCCGTTCCGCAGTGTTTACGGCATGTACAGTGTAAGCAGGAAACGAGCGAGGTGATTGATTTCCACAATATTAATCGCAATCCCGCAACGTTAACATTGATGTCCAAATTGTGGGCGCATCAGATTCCTAGCTGAGTACTTTTGCAATTTGTCACGTGGGAGTCAATCATAGTCAATAATCAATATAATTAGTGATGGTCGTAATCAATATAGTTACAAACACACAGTGCAACTTTCCTCCCGAAATTTTATCGTCACCCCAATGTTGGCGCAACAAATACAATCCATTGTCTGGTTGACTTACGCAATGGAGACCTTGCGATTAAAAGGAAATCTGCCAAAATGCATCTTTTTTTCGGTGTGAGCGCTGCAATGAAATCGCGTGCCGCGTTACATCTTTTCTTTCCTAGTTTGTGTTTTTCATTTTTCTTTGGGTTTCATAGATTTTAATCCCTACACTTTGTCTTATATTAAACTTACTTCCCTATATTTATTGACGCCTTTCCTACTCCACACAGGTCAGCGCCTAACCGTGGTGATAGCTAAGCACACCAGCGATGCTAAGTTTGGGAAAAAACTTATTGTGCAGTTCGTAAAAAACGGAACGTGCACCATCCCATCTTTAGCGTATAGCGTCAAGACTTGCAACCGCATGCTAATGGATATC